GGGGGGGGGGGATTCCCCTAGCGGTAACGACCTACCCCGGCTTGCATAAACGACACCATCCTCCCCACCGTCGCATCCCTCCATCATTGCTTACGGGAGAGGTAATTGGATACAATTACACCACTGAAGAGTCCAATCGACTGACATCGTGGTGGGTGGTATTTTGCATATCATCCGAGTAGTAGTTCATTTCAGTTTGTTGGCTGGCCGCCATACTGTAAAAGCCATCTTTGATCTGAGATAGAAAAATGTCTCTTCATCATCACGGAATGTCTGCGATCTCACTGTTGCAAGCTTTTAGTTTAAAGAAAATCCCAAACGGTGTTGTTGTTTACAGATAAGTCTTGGAGATAATCAGTGATTCATTTTTTTCGACGTCTTCTCCGTGTCTTCTCCGTATCTTCTTGATGTTCAGAGCCCCGGCTCATTTGAATCCGCACCCGCTACGCGCCACAACGAGCCTCGAAAAAGTTCATCGCGCAGCGTTGGTAGAACTGCATTACTTGTCGTCTGCTGTCGGTTGCGTCAAGATGGCGGCCAAACAATGCAGACGACGTTAAAGAACCTCCGCCAATCTCATTATCCTTAGATGTTCCATGAAGAATGAGTTCCAAGTCCACGTCAGAAGAATCAATCTGTGACAACGATTCAGAATGTTCAGAAGAAGGTGTCGACCCACGCGTCCAGGTACGTCTGGTGTATTGACATCCAACTCAATGGCACTCAGAACCTCCATATTTCGTGCTCATCTCCCTTCTCGTAAATAAAAAAAGATAAGAATTGCGTGAGTTTGAGATTACCTTGTCTTATCAGTTTACACTCCTATTACGTCTTCCTGTCGGGAGATTCCTCGCTCTTACCCTTCACGCTTGCTGTCCAGTTGGGCTGGGCGTGAATGTGAAAGGTCATAGGTTAACTTTACAGCAATGGTAAATGACCACTCCAAAAAGTTTAATTCAAAATTTGATTTGTGAGAAATGAATGGGAGATTGATATTCTTTGAATGATGTGGAACTATAGTTTGTAATTTTTTCACAATTTATTGCAACTTGTTACTAAATGACCTTTTTTTCCTCCTAAAAATTAGGTGGAGTTAGAGAAGCTGAACTCTGCTACTAATGAAATTAATAGACTTGAAGTTGATTTAGATGTAAGTACCAAGCCCAAAACAAATACAAGTTCTTTTAAAATGACAATTATTGTTCAAAATATTTATCACAACTTTCTCTCTTTAGGATGCTAGATCTAAGTTTAGGCAACTGCTATGTGAAACAACCCTGCAGGTTGATTCACTTGGCAAAAAGCTTGGTTCCTGTGTAGAGCGTGCCAGACCATATTATGATGCTAGGATGAAAGCTAAAGAGGTAATCATGTTTCCTGTGATGATTTCAATAATACCTTGATCTTTGATTTATGGCTCTGAGAATATATTTAATTGCAGACTTTGCTTGAGACTCAAAAAGCAGCAGTACGTTTTGAGAGAGCTAACTCTGCTCACACAGCTGCTAAAGAAATGGTTTTTCTTGCTGAGGAGGGACTAAAAACGGAAGGACGTACATTTGATCACGCTTGGCAAGAAATGCTGAACCATGCTACTATGCGGGTAAGTCTCTTTTTTCTTCCCCCTCCTAAGTACAAAGTCGTTAACTTATGCGATACTCATAGTTTATTTAAAACTGTGGAAATGTCAAGGTGAATGAAACCGAGATGGAGCGCACAACTACAGAAGTAGAGCATCGTAAAACCTCACAGATTTCTCAGGATGCAGAGCGCAAAGTTCAACAACTTCAGAAAGATCTTAAGAGATCAATAGCTAAATCAAGGTTTGAAACTAAAATATCAAAAATAGTGATTTAATTTTGATGTAACTTCTGTTTTTGAAGTCTGTGCTTAATTAAGTTAGATATTTTTGAGTTCCTTTCAATTGTAGTAGTAGCTCTGTAAAAATCAAATGCATATTGGACACATAGCGTTTGTAAAAGATAAATACCAAAAGTTAATTTTTGCTATAATTTTTAGCTTACTTTAATGGCATGTTGATTTTCAGACCCCAGTGTAGGTAAAGTTGCACTGCTTTGGTACTTGCTTTCCTAATTTATGAGCTGAACTTCATCCAGCTATGATTCGATGCCAAAAGGTTTGTTTAATTTTGTTAGGATTCTTAGCATGCTTTTTCTATATAATTTGGAAACATTGTTTATTTTATTTTATTTTTCACCTACATCGGAATACAGTAATAATAATTGCCCATTTAATTTTTAAATAACCCTATCAGACTAGTACATGTGAAAATTTAATTTTGCATGCAAGTTAATGATTCCTTGGAGTGTCATGTGATGCTGTGTGTGTATGTTGACAGCCTGAGTGCACGCCGCAATCTTCTGACGATAAACAATATAGTATATCAGCATCGCTTATTGTTGTTGTAAGTAGTTGCATGTTTTATTTTGTTTTCAAAGCTGTGTAATGTTTTATACTGATGTTGAAACATTTTACGCATGAATACATTTGTATTAGTGTAATGAAAATTGTACCTGGTTTTCATCCAATTTATTATGGGTTGGCTCAATCTCTGTGACAGTTCTGTTAAAAATTTCTTTTTTGGATGAAAACATATACTATTTATATCATCTTCTTTTCAATAGGCCATATTTTGAATTGAAGTCTCAGTACAATCATCAAATGGAAGAACAGAAGCAGAGAGTTAAAAAGTTAGAAAGCCAAGTGGCCCAAGCTAAAGCAAGCTATGCTGAAGCATTACGCAATCTGGAACAAATTAGTGATGAAATACACAAGGTAACTGCCAGTTTGAATTGTGTTTATTTTGGCATTAATTATTTTGTTAATCTAATCTAATCTAATCCAATCCAATCTAAAATCATAAATGTAGATTCGAAACCATGAGATGTTTGGGTTCACTGATCCACTGGGTGTAAGGGGCCTTGGAGTTGGGGCAGAGTCACCACTTCAGCCCAAAAATATTCGAGCTCCAGGAAAGGCAAACCAGCCTCCTAAAAGAAAGAAAACTGTCAAGCAGCCAATAGTTAGTTCCAAACAGAGCAAAGGTAATAGAACCCGTCTAGCTTCCGCTCAACTCTTTTAGAATTGTTGGAACTTTTTACTCTGAAACCTTGCTCTTTCCTCCTGCAGATTCTTGGCTTGATTCAGATTCTGGCGACGAATATCTTACAATTCCTAGTAGGCTGGGACCTGCAGCCAGCCCTGTCATGCCCCAGGTAGTATTACAAAATCATATTAAAGATTGCCTTCACTACTGCTCAAGGAATTTCTTTGTTTTTGAGTTGTAATTGATTTTTAATTTTTAAAATGCTTTTACTTCTCTTTTTCAGAGAAATAAAGATTCAAATGATTTGTCTCAGTTCATGGGCTTGTCAAGTTTATCTGGTGATAATGAATCTAGAATGCAAGCAGTTGCCAAACTGGAAGAAGAGGTCCTTAAAGATGCCAAAACGATGCGTTTACCAGCTGAAAGGAGACCAAGCTTAGCAACATCCACTCCCAGCTGTAATTCTACACCAAAGAAAACACCAAAAAATCCATTTCTTCCTCTCACAAATCCATTCCAGCCGCAGAATAATCCAAGCAATCTTCTGAATGGAAGTAGTTCTGATTTTAATCATACATGGACTGCAATAAATCTGGGAGAATCCTCCTCAGACAACTCCCCTTCCCCTGCTAAAACGTCTCCTAATGGTGATAGCCAAGGGCAAACAAACAGCACAAACAATATCCCATACCGCCCACTTCTCAATCAACCAGTGGATGAAAAAACTGGTAGCTGTCACATTATCACTCCCCTGACAGATGAAAAAGCTAACTGTGATGATTGGCTGAGGAAAACATCGGATAATGCTGTTCCTGATGGAGGAGAAGAAGTATGGACTGAAGTGAGCTTGAATGACGATCCAGAAACTCCAACAACATCAAGCCTATTCAAAAAAGTTTCATTCTTTAACACCAATTTTAGCTGTGGCAGGCCAAGAAACTCTTCCACTGATGAAGATCGTCAAAGTTCTGTGGAATTAAATACTCCCCCTCAGTCAGCCAGAGGATCAGTGAGTTTACAAGGCACTCCTCTGAAGCAACGAATGAAAATAGATACAGGTCTTGTGAACTGGATATCTAGATCATCTGCTGCAGGCGAAGATCAGATAGTGACATCAGCTTCTAGACGTCCTCCTGTTGGGTCAAGAAGACAAAGTCTGGATACCCTGTTGTGGAATCCCACCTCAGAGCGAGTTAAGGACATTTTGAATCAAGGTATTATGATGCTGAATATGTCATCACTCACAGAAAGGAGGTAAATCAACCAAACAAATTATGTTCTGTACTTTATTCTTTTGAATACTTCATCAATATTATCTATCTAATAATTATGCTGTTTATCTAGGTCAAGTGAGCCAAGAGCAGAAAAGCCTTCTAATTTGTCTGCGGGAACACTGAACCCAATGTCAGGCATGGAACAGTCAACTCTAACAACAAGGCCTTTGAAAAAGATTCCCTCTCCCTTAGAAAAATCTCTGACATATTTAAATGCTGAGGATGACTCTGCGTCTGATACAGATAGTTTACACAGGTAACTTAAAATGTTAATATTATCAATGCCAGTATTTTCATTTAAAATTAGAAGTATTTGTAACCCTTATATATATTCTCATTTCAATTTAGCATGGATATGATGACAGACGATCAGATTTCCTCTTTTATGCACGAGCCAAACCTTCGAGAAGTTTGTCAAGATGTACTGGGTACACCAATTTCGGAGGTTCTACCTGGTTACCCAGCAACCCATGCCTGAAATATCGCTACACATAATACTATTGCATCTCCGATTTAGTAAGGTGAATTACATACATTTAAAAAAGGATACTTGATTCCCTACCACTGTTCCCTCTACATATATAATATATAGTTACTGATAAATTTGTTAGTAGAAGTTTCACATCAGCTTTTTTAAGGTTTAAGGGCAGAATAATGTTGAATAATTTTGAAAGCCTCCCAAAGCTATTGATTTTTGCTGTATGTTTGTATCAGTTAGCTAACAGATAACGGGTCATTTTGTATGTTTGGGTTTTCTATTAAAGTATACATGAAGTACAACTTAAGGAGAAACTACCTGGATAATACTTAATGTCTGCTTTTGATATCCTGCATGTGTAATGAAAGAGTATACCAGTTATCCTAGCTTTGTCCATATCACTCCGAAAACTATTCCAGAGAGTAGATATGTTTTGTGATTTGATAATAAGTAAGATAACCTTCTTGTAATCTTCCTTAGCTGGAAACGATAATTGTGTCTTTATCTTACCTTGTTTCCTCTCATTCAATCTCTAGTCATAGATTTCTCTTTTTTCTTAGAAGTGCTCTGCTCTAATTCATTATTGGTAGGAATTCTGTGGGGTGCTTATTACTTTTTGTTATTTGTTAAGCTTGGCATTTGTTTCCGTCATGTAATTATTTATACACCCTGAGTTCTCATTTAGTTAGACAAATGTCCTGTCTTGAATTTGTGTACTGTCTTGAAAAGTCAGAATTTACTCTTTTTAATTGAGTAAGTTTGGTCCGAGTTTGTGTAGACAAATGACCTTTGACTATAGGGTAAGTGAAGTCTGGCAGTTGTTGAAAACAGCATTTTATATAATAATGATCATTTATGAAGTCAGTTTGTTTGGTATGAAAGACTGCCGATTACACTCTTGTGTGCCTATTACAGTATCTATAACATAAAAGGTAAACAACTTTGACCATAGAGGGTCATTTGGAAAAGTATTGGTTGGACTTTTGGAAAGTTCTCGGCCCGATTTGATATTAGCAATTTAATTAGTTAATTTTATTAAAATTTAGCTGTATGAGTCTTTTTGATATAGTCAAATATTTTTGTGTTTGTATAGAAGTCCACGTGGAACTTGAGTCCCAATTGCTATAAAAGTTCTACAATTTAAAAGACATTGAATGCTGCTCTTCAAGACCTAGCACTGTTGCTAGTATTTGCGGACATCATTTTGTGTTTCAAATATGCTGCTGTGATAATGTTTTACCAAGTATGCAATATGTGTTAACAATAAGTATGGGAAATTTCTTTTTCCATTTTTGACAAACTTTTTGTCTGTGAATGTTAGAAACATATCTATTCCAAAAGATTGATAATTTTATTACATGCTTTTTCCCTTCAGTTTTATTGAATTGGCTGGATCTGTACAATTATTTTATCTTCTTTTTAAAGAGCACTTGTGTCTTTTTAAAAGATGATGTATGCAATTATCTAATCTATAGATTTTATGGTCACTTGTTAATCCATTTTCAATAACTTTTCTAAAAAAAACAAAAACTTTTAGACGTTTTTATTATTTGATTGCCTTTACAGCTATTATGTGAAATGCTTGATTTTACTTTGAAAGATAGCACTGCAGGGTGGGTGTTCTAAGCCATCCTGTTTTTCTGGTTATACTATTCTGGTTGAAGGCGGTCAGGCTAGTAGCGTTCTCGCACGGGGCGGTGAGGTGTCTAGGAGAATGATGAAAGGCAAGCCTGCACGCCTGCATATGATACAGTAAGGATAGGAAAAAAAGGACAGCCTGGCACACCAACCATGTACGTATTTGTTGATTAATTAATGAAGTATTTTTGGTGCTCTAAACAAACATCTGCTTTAAGTAACCAGAACTGCTGGACGGGCCAAAGGCCCATTTACAGATTTCCCCTCCACCACTTCATTTGTTAGATTTTACAAAAACAAATTTAGTTCTGGAGAGTTGTTGGAAAATTTCATAAACTGTTGTTCAATGGTAAATCTGTTGTTATTATTCTGCTGAAACGGTTTGTCTTGCCATGAAGGGATGTTGCCTTAATTTAAAAGAGGTATTTTCAGGCATGCACATCAGTTCAGAAAGACACAGTTGTAGCACTAAGTCGCAAGCAAGGTGCGTTGGATTTTTTCCCCTCTAAATTTTGTGTGCTTGAAGAGTCTAAGTGCATACTCCATATTGCAGCACATTCCATGCACAATTCTTACTGGCAGTATTTTCCAGGTATTCAACAGGTGT